CTGGGATGTTTCTCTCCATGTTGCAATGTGTTTATTAAACCCACTTCAAATGATGTTCATGAAGGGAGTGCTGCAGGTTATTGTGAACATTTCTATAACAAATCAGTCTAAAGAAAATTAAACACTGATGTTTGGGCATGTGAATGAACCTGCAGGTAACAACAGGTGTAACACAGAAACCTGAAAAACAATGTAACTGAGTGAAAGTGAAACTGTCTGAGCCTGTCCCTGTGAAACAAACGGTTTGAAGCCTGCAGCGTTGTTGCAGTCAGAATAAAGTCTGAATAACCAAATGTTGTGATGACTTCCTTCTACACAGAGGACGGGACTTTTTTAGGGCCCGGCAGCTTCAGCAGTACTGAGAAGAGTGGCTGTGTTTGTGGGAGGTGCTTAAATGAAAAGAGCCCAGGCAGCAGGTTTAACAGGTCTTTGCATTCAAACATGAGGTCTGATTCAACAAAACCTCGACATACACCCACAGTACATATACCTTTACTAAGCTACATTTTCAGTTCACTCCTCTGTGAATGTTTTAAAAGAAAATTAAAAACAGTAATTTCTTCTAGACTGAAGTTGCTGATAACGTGGGACAGGATTTTTCCAGAATGTGTCATAATATTTGAATTCCTGTTTGATTTACTGTTTTATTTTTCTTCTCTAGAAACATTAGAGCATTTTATCAGGAGGCACAAACCTGAAGCTGCCTAGATTTGTGATTTAATTAGTTTAAAATAAACCATTTTATAATTCTATATATGTGTTTGAGTCTAATTGTTCTTTAAATTTGACTCTTAATTTCAATCTTATCCTCAAAAAGGACTCCTTGAGAAAAACAGCAGTGGGTTTAATTTCTGGCTTGTTTGTAAAAACAGAGTAGAAAACATGATGTGACCAACAGCTGAGACAGTGGAAAAACTAACTTACTTCTAGCTGTCCTTCCCCTTACCTGCTCACTTGTGACTTCTGTAAACAGGCTGTGTCCACTTTGATGTCTCTTCCGCCTACCCCTGACCACACCTCAATCTTAGTGCAAATACACACTTAAAAACTGGCTAAAACTCAACTCAACTTCTGATTATTATCCACTAAGGCTTCAGTGTTTTGTCATCTAATATTAATCTTATTTTAAATCAGTGAGTGATTTATGATATTGTTCTGTTAATTATTTTTCTGTCTTAAATGCTTCTTGGGGACACGTGACATGTAAATGAATGAATGAATAAAAATCTTTAACTTTATTTTTTTCCAATGTTTTTTTTTGGTTTGTACACTTCATCACAGTTAGTTGTCGACTCTGACCAAATTTTTTAGAGGCACACAATCACAAATTTAGCCTATTATCTTCATGTACACTCATCTTCTCTTTTATCTTTAAAAGCAAACACTAGACTTTAGAAAATAAAAATAAAATCCACTAAAATCATAATTTGACCGTACAAATCATAAAAATAGTTTCAGTTTCAATTTGGCCAGATTTATCAACCAAACACGGGTGAGAGGATCTGCCCTCAAACTGTGTGTGGTTGTAAAGAAATATTTTTTTTCTGAACTTTTGAATCCAGTATATACACAAAGAAAGAATACTCAAGAAAACTTGAACTAAAAGTGACGCTAAACTGCAATAAAAACAAAATAATTTTTACAAGATGGCCAGGATGGAGCTGTGATCATGTTGGGGTGGCATACATGTCTCACAAACAATGCATTGCTATTTAAGCAGCTTAAACTACACACCTGTACAATATTTGGATGTAGGTAGTGTAGCAAAGAAGCACTATACAAATGTAGCAGTGTTAATAGAAAATAGTACTTTGTATTACTACTGTGCTGAGAAGAGATCTTCTTCAGTTTATGTTAGGTTTTGTATTGTTGATTGTCATTTATGCTTAGAAATATTTAACCATATATGCTTAGAGGTGTATAATCAATTGTGTAGTGATAGGATGTGTGATCTTTAGCAGGCTGCAAAGGCTTTGTGTGTATTCCACACTGGAATGCACACCTACATCCTGGGAGCATGGGAAGAGGTCGTACCTTGTTTTATTGTTTTATGG